CACCTCAGGGTGACATCACCTTTAGGTCCAGGATGATGGGTCACATGTGCCTTTGGGGGATCTGTGTGGAAGATTTAAGAAATCCCACAAGAACAAGGTAAAATGAAATCTGCAAAGACAAAGTTAAATCAGTGATGACACTGAACTATGTATCTGAACACTTCTGATTGTAATCACATTAGTGACCTGCAGGGGGCGCTGGTCCCCTCATCACTGATCGGCACATTTTCCAGGGGGACCCAGAAGCTAAGAGGGAATCTCAGGAACCAGAAGGTCACATGGTCTTCCCTATGTGATGTTCTATAGCATAAGTTAGGTGGTAAAAGTATTGAAGAAGGAATGAAAAATAATTTATTTATAAACATGATTAAATGCATATCAAAGTAAGAAATTAAGAGGAACGGCGTACATGAAGGGTGTCACCAACTACTGCTGCCACCATTGAGGCCCAACCACTGTGGCCATCTTGCTGACCAGCATAACTGTCTGTCCAAGTGAACAGCCATCACCAAAGTGTGCAGCAGAAATGGTGTGAACCTCTGACACTCAGCCAGAGATAATGACTCCCTAACCCCAGCCTCTGGGGGCCAAGATACAAGGTGTTGTCACCCAGGATCCCTGGAAATAGCTGTGGAGCCCAGTACAGCACTCACTGGGAAATCGGTGCTCACAGGGGTGTGTGGGTTTTACTTATCAGTCAAGAAAGTTCAACTCCTAATTCACTAGGAGCAACACTGCAACTTGTTCCAGCAGAGGAAGAGCAGTGGGGGTTTGGATGGTTAATTCTGGCAGAAAACAGTCTAAGCTCATGGGACTCTTTCCTTTAAAGGGAACACTGACTTCTGTGATTATCCAGACTAGCAGTCGCCCAGGGAAGAAGAAAATGACAACTCAAAAAAAGAAAAAGATAAAAAGGAAAAAAATCCTATAATTTCGAGTGTTTTTCAGAGCACCCCAAAAGTGTCACGTGACCATTCTAGGAAGAGATAGAATTGGGGTGAGGGAGGGATGCAAACCTCACGCACAGGAATCTGGGAAATTGTATTCTGAGGAAAGTTCTAGAAACCTGGGAACCACCCTAGGGTCGGGGCATCCACGTCTCCATCAGGTACAGGAGACTTCCGGTCCTGGTGTGTAAGGCTGACACACTCAGTCACCGGGTGTGGGCAGAGAACCCGGCCTGGCAGAGGCCATGGCTGCCAGCCTGGCAGATCCCATGGCTGACAGTGGGCTGCAGACTGAGGAGCCACTGCTGGGGATGTGGGCATCTTCTCTCCCGCCCTCCTGAGACAGATCTGGAACCGTTCAGGGAGAAGGCTGAGTCCTGGGAGATGAGTGCAGCCCCTGCCAGGCTGGATCAGGAGCCCCGGGGACACTGTGTCCCCTCAGAGACAGGGGCGTGACCCCAGCTGAGGGTCTCTTCTTCCTCAGGACTGAGCCCAGCCCGAGGGCAGAGGGAGGAGATGCCCGCGGCCCCTGCACCTGTGCGCAGCAGCTGGTCCTTCCCGTGCTCCAGGTATCTGCCCAGAGACTCCACGCACTCCTCCTCCAGGTAGGCCCTCCATGCGTCTGCAACACCAGCCTGCTCCCACTTGCGCCGGGTGATCTGCGCCGCCGTGTCCGCCGCCGTCAACGTCCTCAGGACCTCGTTCAGGGCGATGTAATCGTCGCCGTCGTAGGCGACCTGACGGTACCCGCGGAGGAGGCGCCCGTCCGACCCCACGTGACAGCCGTACATACTCTGGATGGTGTGAGAGCCTGGGGGCGG